TCGAATACCAGAGTATAGTAGTACCTGTACCGACGGCAGTTTGTGTTCTCCAAAGTTTGGCCAACGAACTTCACTCAGTCCCAGGATTTCTAGCTTCATGCGTCGCGCCTCGTTGGCGAGTTGTGCCAGTTTACCCTGCTGGGCTAACGTCAATACATTCCATGATCCAATTCGTGTCCGTTGTTTTGCGCTAAAAGTCGTTGCCGTTATATCAGTTCGATGTCTTTCTCTGTTGGTTTCTGTAACAATTGTAAAGGTTTCAGAGACAGTAGGTGGTTGGCCTAAGGTCTCCTATCCGCCGTGATGGGGCTGCCATCTTAGGTGTAGCTTCCGGGGAAGAGCATTTCTTATTCAGCCGCTGGATGCCAGTCAGACGCTGTTTGAGCCGCACCTCCATGGTGAACAGACGCTCGCAACAGAATTATACCAACAATCAATACGAAACTAACGATTTTAAATTGGCTCACCACTTTAGTAGCCTATTGGTCCCAAGCAAACGATTAACGTACCCTATTCTAGTTGAAATTCTATTACTACACTATGTTTGTTTTGATTCGCTATGAAAGTTTGCTGACAAAGTAGGTAATCCCTTTTCATGTGAGAAAATTTGAGCAACAGGCTTGTTGTCAGTAACAAGAGTAAACTTCCTTCCGAAAAGGTATTGATGGAATCTTTTTACTCCAAATACAATGGCATAAGGCTCCTTATCAACTTGTGTATAATTGTTGGTAATATCGATCATGATATTGCAGAGATGGCACGAGATTGCTCTGATTGTGCTAAGACTAGGCCGGATCCAACAAAAGTGCCAGTTCATTCCTGGGAGAGACCGTCAGAACCATTCCAACGAATTCATGCCAACTTCGCTGGTCCTTTTATGGGATTTTATTTCCTCATTATTGTAGATGCTTACAGCAAATGGCCAGATGTAAAATTAATACCAGATATGACGACTCAAACTACAATCCAGCGAATGAAAGAATTTTTCGCTACATTTGGGATCCCATCCGTAATAGTTACTGACCGTGGTACTCAGTTTACTTCTGATCAATTTCAGGCTTTTATCAAAAGTAACTAATGGCCAAGCTGAACGTTATGTGCAAACAATCAAGGATAAACTCAGAGCCATGAAATGCTCACGTTCAGAAATCAACATGGCACTACCTGATATTCTTTTGGCATATAGGCGAACAATTCATCCTGCTACAGGAAAAAGCCCGTCTATGTTGGTGTTCGGCAGGTAAATCAAGTCTCGTCTTGATCTAATTATACCGGAATCCGAGGAGAAATGCATTACTCGAGGGAAGGAAATGTTAGTGCGGTCTTTCGAGGAAAATGATAGGATCGCAGCTAGGGATTATATGTCAGGTTCAGAAAAGTGGAGATTTGGTGTTGTTTCTGAGAAGGTAGGCAAGCTACATTACTTGATTAGGCTTGATGATGGTAGAATTTGGAAGCGGCACGTGGATCAACTGAGACCAGGACCCATTGCACATGTAATGATCGAACCTTTGAGTTTGATAATTACATAAGAAACCGTTGCTATAATACAAGTGTCTTCTCATAACCAAATTCCACTCTTATCGGAAAACGATGTTGAACCATCGGTATTGTCTGAAGCTGCAAATGGAGGGTCAGCTACGAACATTACAAATTCTGCCACATCAGATCGTATCGCTATTGTTCCTATCAGCAGTAAGTACTCATAAAGATTCTGGATGGAATTCCAACAATGAAAATCCTACTGTCAGGAGATCAACCAGAATTAGGAATCCTCCATCGAGGCTGGACTTGTAAGTTTACTAACTATACTAATGTATGTGAAATTCCCTGAATCTGACCTCCTATCCTTTAAACATTGTACCACCACTCTCGCCACCACTAACCCCGAGAAGACCGCGGGTAATCGGTCACTCCGAATACTAGCATTGATAAAGAGAAATATAAGGAAGACTCGTTAGAGAGGAAGAGATGTTATAAAGTTCGTATTAGATGGACTACACTGTATATAAACATAACCAGTCTACCATGATTGCATATCGATGACTGTTTGGGAGTCGAAATAAAATCATTCGTGTACAAGCAAGTAAAAGTAAAACGTGGTTTATTTCTGTCGTGGATTTTCTCCGAATTTATAACATAAATAATACAAATAACTCGTTAAAGCTCCAGTACTAAATCTTCAAAAACCACATTAACAGCTTCGGTTTATCATTTCCTCATATCTCTCCCCATGTGAATAAACGGATTCCCTTGGAAAAGGCTGGATAATTGGAGTCAGGCTTCCCAAGCAACACACATGTTCTATAACAGTTTATATAACCTGTGTATGACTTGTTTTGGTTGTAAAGCAGTTTACTTTACATAATTCTATGTTTATGTTACTTGGGTTTGCCAGATACCAATCAATGGTTGCTTCAGCCAGAGGAAGAAAACGACCCTGTGCCTCTTTTGAGCAGCAGAAGAATTCAACTTCATCGCAAAGCAACAAGCATAAAGCTGGGTAGACAGGGCAAGTCAATTGATCAAGTCAGTTGAATTCAACTGACTTGAACGCGAATTGAACGTGTAAACCATGCCATTCAACTGACTTGATCAACTCACTTGAATTGAAAAAAGTTGAACCACACACTTCGAAATAAATAATTTTACACGTGACGGAATCCCTCATTGACATAAAGGATCAGATGTAAACAAATATTTCATGTAAAATTAAGTGCTCCGAGACTGAAAAGTTCGTTACTCGGCGAAAAGTACGTTTGATTGAGTTGAATTTCGTGTCTGTTATGACTCAAATTTATGTCAGAATTGACGCTCGTATATGTCAGTCTCAGAGCACCTAAATTTACATGATTTTTTCTAAGTGTGCAGGCTCAACTTTTCAAGCCAATTGAATTCAACTGAGTTGATCATTTGACTTGCCCTGTCTAAACCCAGCTGAGCCTCTCAACCAGTGCTGTTAAAAATCATTTCTTCTGCACCAACGAGCGAAAGTTGACTGTATTTTCTATAACAACATTAAACCAAACTGGAAAAATCTGGATGAGTTTAAAAGAAACTGGAAGATTGGCTGTTTGCCTGGATGCCTCTAAAAAAAACTGGAATTTTGACATCGCCATTCCACCCAAAAACAAAGGCTTGATTAGTAAAGTAATGCTAAGCATCTATGTCAGTACTCAGTTAGTGGAGGGATTGATCCGGAATTTCTTTCGAAGTAATTTAAAAACCTTAAAACGAATTTCAACATACGTTAGCTTCATCCACCAATTGTTCTTCAATATATATATGTATATTCTCATCCACAGATCCTCTTCAATATATAAACATCTAATAATTATCATATATAATTTTGTCTTCCATGTTGGGATTCCTTTTATCCGGGTCATATTTACAATATACATCGACAAACGTTTTAGTTTAGTTTTTTTTTTGTTTGATTTCTGTTTGTTCGCATTTTTATTGTTACACCTTTGTTGCCCATTAACATCGTCGCATAGGTTAAATTTAACACGATTTAAGTTTTCTGATTTTGGCTTCCTACTTTGTTCGCTAAAATTGGCCTCTGTTTCTCTCTGCGTGATATCGCAATTCCGAAGTTCGCTTTCTCTATCTTTCTCTCTTGATCTGCGCGTTTATTTGTTGGCTCTAGGATTTTCACCTTTTGCATGGCCTATAAATTCACATATAAAATATTCAGTTCCTTTGTGTGACGTTCATTTGTTTGTTTGTCTTTTATTTTTTTTTTGACTATTTCGGGTTTGAAAGATATCAAGATCTTCGGTGAAGCTAATATCAACTATTCTTTTGGATGATGCGATGATTGTGCTAGCAATGTAGGAAGAAAATGGAAACCGTTTTGCTTTTGCTCTGTCCAGTAGCTTTGTTGTAGTCGTAGAAAACCTTGTACGCATTAGTTTCAGATTTTGGTACTTCTATTTAGGTTAAGGTTCAGATTGCAAGCAAGTGGAGAAGATTTGCGTTTTTAATGGACTTCAAAGGACGGGAAGGGGTACAGAAGTTTTTTTTTTTTTCAGGGGTAGCGAAGTTCAAAACAGAACTATCGTGTCAAACGCTGCGTCTTCCCGTTGTTGATTGGTATTGTTAGTCGTAACAGTCATAGCTTCTTCGTGAACGTTTGACAAAGGTGAGTGATCAAAATTTAATGATCTTGAAGCGAAAGATAAATATCACAGCCCTAGTAGCATGCAAGTTGCTGTTCGGTTGAGAAAACCTGTATGTAACTTATAAAAAGTTCTAGTCCCAATCAAGTTATTGCAAATCTTGGCAAAATGAATGTGCTACATGCAAAAGATATTTCAAGAATCGATAATAGCTTTAAAGCTATCAAATTTATGGAAAATATTCCATTTTGTAAACCCTGCAATCACCTGACACTGCAGTGATTTAAAGAAAAATAAAAACGAATGGTCACTGCAGGAGCAAAGTTGTTGCAGAATGTGACAAATAAATGCAAAGACCAGTGTTGAGAAAATATAAAAAAAAAATCAAATTTAAATCTTCATGATGATCGCGCTTGATTTTCGAGGACAAATATCAACAAACAAAAAACAAGCTGTGATATCGTTGTTTCAAATATTAAGCTTTCAAAACTCACCAGCTACGATTTTCACCAAACTGTGGTGAGTTTGAGTTTCAAAATTTTTGGTTTACACCCGAACGCGACCCGAATCTTTCGTCAGTGCTGACGAGCTTGTGTCTTTGTGTCTTCCGTCGGAGAAGAGTAAAGAGAGAAAGCAATCAGTTCTGTCTCATTCTGAAAAAAAAAAACCGATGTGCAATGGAATCAATTTTGCTTCCAGTCAACTCTCAGCTACTATTTCACTACTCATCTCGCAGTATCAAAAGAGCTTGTAAAATCAATATCAAGCATGATATGTTGTTCCAATATCACGCGTGATATTGAGAGCATGAGAGTAAAAAAATAATATCTTTTTGGAAATGATTATGCCATCACTGGCAAGAACACAACCACCATCTGCTGTTATCGGAAGATGCTGACTGCTACAGGGTATCGGTGGTAGTATTCTGGTTGATCCTGACGAAAACTTATGAAGCATTCAGCAGATTATTTCTAGGGTCAGTGACTGTTTTTATCATTTACCATCCCACGCAAGGAGTAGCGCTTCAACCCAGGGCAGATGAATTCCGTTTGTTTTGAAAATCTTTGCTGGCACGTACAAGCGAAATGAACAAATGAGTTCATTACACGTCAAAGAATACGCGTTTCTTGATTATCCAACCTAAAATTGTCAAAATCAGGCGATCCTCAAAAGCAAAATCATCAAATTCATTGCTTATTTTGAATATAGTCAACCCCAGAGCCTAAAACCTCGATATTATCATCAATTCAGCAAGAGACAATAATTATTCAACGATCTGCATCTGTAAAAACCAACGCACTATATTTGTGTAAGATGAAAACAATTATTTTGCATTTGATCCATAAAATCATCCCCACCAAGATGAAGACGAATATTAATATTGATAACAACACAAGCAATAATGAACATCTAGCCACGAATGAAGGAAAACATATGTTGATTTCAATACTCACAGGTTGCCTTGATCGAGAACATTTGTTGTTATGCCAAAATTCCAATTCATGCAGATAGTTGGGTTTTCATTTTCAGCTAACTTGAGTGTAGAAGAAATGATTTTTATCAGCACTGTCCAGGGTTGTAATCAATATGCAAAGGCAATAGCAACGGACTTTCAATCAAAGCGGATAGACGCAGCATTCAATGGAATGTTTCTGTTTTTGTTCGTTGACTTGCAGATATTGCACGAACTGCGCTAAACGGAACTGTTCATCTTCATATGTATAATTTCTAGTTATATCGTACTCTACAATATAGTCAACAGCCATTTAGAAAGTTTGTTTTCTTATTAACTCCTCCGCATAACGCATAATAATTGTTCAACGTGTATCTATTTGTCAAAAAACTTAAAACTCAAGCTGCCATTAGCCGAAACACAGAAAACAAGCCGCGGCTGGAGCGCATAAATTTGAACACGTCGATAAAATTTGCCACATACTAACAGCTAACAGCGTTTACGTGTGGTAGTGGTGGTGATCGTGGTGGTGTGTAGATTCAACCGATTGCTGCCCCCCCGAAAAGGGATTACACATCTAACAGAAAGGAACAACAATTCTCTATACAGAATCTCTAAAATACATTCGGTAACACATAACAACAATGTGCCGACCCGATCGACGACAGCGGGTTCATGGGCGCATGATGGTGGTGTTGCGCCCAACAACGGCTGAGTGGTGGGGAGTGAAGAATACGGCAGCACCGAAGCCCGGGCAAAGCCAAGAAGGGCGGTGACGGGATGGAACGACGAGGATCAGCTGCTTCACTACAGCTGATCCTCGTCCTATAAGCCACAGTCGAAGCTTTCTCCCCACTCGCTGTAGCGGGAGTCCTGCTTCTGCAGCCGCTGTTGACAGGCCTCCAGATAGCTGTCCTGTATCCGGTACATTCCACTGTTTGCCTGGTACATCAACGTCTCCAGGATGCGTTCGTTTTTGATGGCCTTCGAGGGAAGCACGATTTTGATCAACTCCTGCGGTGAGATTCGGTGCAGTTTCAGGTCCCGCGCTAGCCGTTCCATGATGCAACGGAACTCGACCTTGGCGTCTATTTTGGCGGATGCTTTGGATTTCACCTGGAAAAGAAGAAGAGCAGCATGCGGTTAGTGCGAAGAGCTGTTTGACCGCTTGGTGGTCCCGAAGAAACGTGCTCAACTTTTTGGCTCAGCTCTGGTACTCTCTACTGTCCCAAGTTAATCGATGCACCCCTCGAAACATAGGAAAATCCACGAGCCCCTCATTTTATCTGTCAAACTTTCATAGCAAATCAAAACAAACATAGTGTAGTACTAGAAATTCGACTACACAGAAAAAAATTCTGAATTTTAACTATCGCGTAAAATCTTCCTTCGTTTAATTTTGAGCTATACTTGGCATAAACAGTGAAATTTTTTACAAGCTTGTATACAATATTGCTAATTTATGCGATATTGCGCTTAAATTTACCCTAAATATCGCGTAAATTTATGACAAATCTAGCGTTAATTTTATGTGCGCTATATCTCGCAGAAATTTACATGAATTTTTCGAACGGTGTAGAATGGGGTACGTTAATCGATTTGCTTGGGACCAATAGGCTAGTCAAGTAGTGAGCCAATTTAAAATCGTTAGTTTCGAATTGATTGTTGGTAATACCTTATGTTTGGCCCAGGCCAGCATTGCTTCAAACTTGCGAACTTCGGGTATTTCCAGGTTGCGACACATGATCATCTGGACCATGCTTTCGCTTAGGGTGAGAAACTCCGTCGTCTGAAATAGGGCATACGCTCGAGTCTCGACGAACGCCAGGATCATGTTAACCAGCTCCGAAGCGGACGTGTACCGCCAGTAGTAGTTCTCCAGCGCCGTCAACATCGGACAGACTGCGTCTATCCTTAGGAACTGTTTTGCGTGGTGGAAACAGGCTTGTAACAACTCAGGCAGATCGTAATGCTCCGCTGCGCAGATCAGCCCAGGGATCGATATGCAGGTCAACGGGCAACTTCCGGTATGAAGGTAGTCCAACAGCACTCGGAAGGTTTCCGGATCGAACTCGATGATCGTAAACTCAGTCTGTGCTAGCTTCGCACGATCGACTTTTTGCGCATCGGCACAGACGGACAGTCGAGGGACGGCCAGTTGGCCTGCATTGGCTTTGTTCTTGGAGCTGCTCTCTTTGCCATCTTTATCTGAAAGAGTTACAACATCGATTTACTTGAAATGGACCACCGGGGTGGAGTATACGAACCGGAACAGTCTTGCGAGGAAGCCCACTTTTTCTTATCGTCGACGTTGAGGTGCGATTGCTGCTTCCGTATTGAACGACCCCAGCCGGCGGTGATCGTTCCGAGCCGGGAGAAGGCTCGCTTGACCATCGGCGATGAGGGAACACTTTTCGGTCGAGGCGACTCTATGTCCGGCACTTGGAGGAAGTTGCTACTCTTGGGCCGTGGGTTTTGCGGGGAAAGAAGTGTCGGAGCTGGCCGGGCCAGTAGCTCCGCAACCGGCACCTGAGGTGATCCGAAACCGGTTTGGATGCCGTACAGCATTTCCTGAATTTGATGGGAAACATTATCGTTAATTTTGAACGACGCCATTAACCATGTTCAGATACCTGAAAGACACGACTTCTGACGCCGAGTATGGCGCGGACGCCGATGAAACGGGCCCGCTGCTTGGACTGCTGTCCTACTAGGAACACTACGTCGAAGAGTTGTGCGTTCTGAAGACACGACGGTTCCAAGTTTAAAAATACGCGTGTAAAATCTTTCGCTAATTGATCGTAGTCCTCGAACTGATCTCTAACCGAATCTAGCAACGGTGAAGAAGGCCTCATGTGTCCTGAAATGGCAACGGGCAAGATGCAAAAGTGCCGGTTAGTACAAAACCTGCTTCGTCGAACAACCCGAAAGAACGTCTACAAACGGGGGAACATCTACGGCGGATGGGTTGCGGGATCTTGTTGCATTTCGGAAGATATTCGTTTTCGACTTTTCCTCCCCCAGGAACGACCCGAGTTCTTTGCCAATATATTTGGGGAACAGTTAATCAGACGCCGAAAATGAGGTATTTATACGTTCGACATTATTCGTTCATAGCACTTCGGTCCACATTGCAAAACTGTGCCCCTGAGTTGTGTATTGAGCGAGCAGCAGTTTGAAACAACAGTTTTTGTGCCTTCCCTTTCTTCCAGGGGATAGGTGAAGACACTCAACTCAAACAAGAACTGAAGTGTATTTGTTCAGTCAACAAAGGCAGTATATCTCGGGAGCTGCTGCAAAGCTCGGCTTGGTCCGTTCACCCACGCCCCATTCCCATCCGATTCGACCACCCATCATATATGGTCGGTGGACGGTGGCAACGTGGCAGGCACTTTCACACTGCGAACCAATAACAATGGCAACAACTGCGAAAGCCAAACAAAGCAAATAAAACACTAATATAGCGAAACAATAGCGAGCGTACACTCGAGAGTGTGAGAGCCTGAAAACTGAAAAGATGGGAAAACAAAAGGGGAATAGAAAAATGACGGAGAAACGGAAAATCGTTTATGGAAAATGTACGGGCATACACTTTGGGAGTTTGGTGGGGAATTCAATAATTCATATTATAGGAAGGAAGGGAAGTGGACTAAGTTTGCCGTATTGAGGAGAAGGACGCAGAGCGTTTCAAAGCAGCTGGAAAGTGGAGTTTCTTTTGTCATTCGTGGAATAATATATAAGGTAGCTGCTTCAAATTTCCACTAGACCACCCCGATGTATGTCCATTCAATACTGTTATTTAATTTTTTTTTTGAAAACGATTGGAATTAAGCAATCGAGCGTTTATTATTTTTAATTTTAAGATCCGCAAAGATTGCCAAAATCTCCGAATTTGAAAATATGAATAAGTTACTCTTCAGAATTATGAAAGTGTTTCGTGGCCCACCGAGGCCAAGTATACAGATAAGTAGAGATTTCAAAGCTCGATGGGAAATGTGAGGAATTCTTTGGAATATTTAATTGGAATTATGATGAATATTCAAAGGGATAATTTAAAAGTAATTCTGTGGTGAATTCAGGGGAACTCGAAGGATAATACCGGATTAATTATGAGGAGAATTATTAGGGATTCGAATTCTACTTATATTTCAAAATTAATTATGTGAAGAAATTTAAGGATTCCTTTAACATGTAAAGGCGCCGAGATGAGTCTAAGGTAGAAAGACTTGTATGTAAAGCTTATTCATAATTATAACAATAATAATTTAAAGGAGAATTCGCAAGGAATTCAGCGGAGAGAACCAAAGAAATTAGATTTCCAAAATAATCTTAAGGACAGTTCTACGAGGAATCTGAGGATAGTTTAATTTGATTTTTTTTTATGAAGACTGCAATTCCACGCCAAATGACAAATGGATAAGACTCAACCGTTTACGATTTCCAGGAAACTTTGCGTTATTTTGTTTCTCATGGGTGAATGAGTTAATTGAGTTAATGACATTTGAGCAAAAATTATTTTAGTGTGCATCTCGTAAAAATGCTCAAAATGGTGCTTTCGATAGTTTTAGATAGATAGATCACAGCACAAAAACGTCACTTGCGATCAAAATCACATCTCAAACAAAGTTTTAGGAATTCCATGAAATATAGTGACGCTGACATATTTTTAAACTATTTTGCGTAAAAAAATACCGATAAAGTGTTAAACAGAAATAACCTTTTCAATAATTTTAAATTTTTTCATTGAGAAGCTTATTGCTAACTTTTGTGAAATGTTCGTATTAGACACTTAAAAATTGAAGAAAATTTGAATACGATAATATTTGGTCATATTTTTACACCTTTTTAGAAACAGAACTTTTGTAATTTTTGCACAGAAAGCTATTTTATTCATGATACAGACAAGATTCCGGTTAATAGGGGCCGTACTATAGGGTCTGGGACAAACTCTTATTGTAGAGTAATTTGAAGAGATAACTTCCTGGTGTATTCTGAAAAGTTATTAACAAGATAGTTGACCACCTCTTGGGAAAATTCAACATCCGGAAAGACACAAGTTGGGTCCTCCGGTGGACCCGGATTATCCGTAAAAGTAGTAAATTCATGAAACTGATCCTAGAGGTACGTGGTTTTTTTTTCTAAACCACTCATATACGTCTTTTAAGAATTAATTTAGAATTGTGACCCGAATATGAATCCAGGGGAACGTTCCAAGTATCCAACAAGCCCGCTTATTCGACTTTTTGCAATATAAGGCTGATACACGGCTAACATAGGGCATGCTAAGCTTTATATTAGCCACATTTGGGATGTAATGGTCCTACGGAGATCCGAAACATTCGTACAAGTGGTATATTGATGAAAGTGATCCTAGAGCTTCACGGGTTTTTCAACACCACTCATAAACGTCTTATCAGAAATAATTTAGAGTAGTGACTGGAATATGGACCCAAGGGACCACAGGATGGTCCTCCGGAATATCCGGAATATCTGTAAAAGTAGTCAATTAATAAAACTGATCCTAGAGCTCCTTTTTTTTCGAAACCACTCATAGACGTCTTGTCAGAATGAATTTAAAGTTGTGACTGGAATATGAAAACCCTGGGGACCATGTAATGGTCCTCTGGAAGATCCGGAACATCAATTAAAGTGGTCAATTAATGAAACTGATCCTCGACTTCCAAGTTCTTCTTCGAAACCCCTCATAAATGAATTAGAAGTTGTTACAGGAATTTGGACTCTGGGAGCCACGAGATCCGGAACAATGATAAAAGGGATCAATTGGGTTGTTTAAATGCGAAAAAACATACCGATTTTTAAACATCATCTGATAGAGCTTTGTTCATCTCGATTTTTAAATCATTTTTTTAATCGCTGACACTACATCCAAAGATGAATACTAAGATGAAACTGTCGGAAGAAAAACTTTCTATTTTAGTGTCTTCTTTCACGGTCCCTTTCATCCAATGAGAACCCCCCGCATTCAAGGTAATTTTGTGGTTTTGCTGCCCCCTCGGAAGAGATGAAATTTTGCGCTCATTTTTATCAAAACAATCACACCAAAACCAGAGATGTCCCATTTTTTAATTACTCGATTAACAACTAATCGATTATTTTTTGTTCGCTGTGCTGCCATTTTTCCACCAATGAGAGTGCAGCACATGTTTGAAACGATCGGTGATGATCCTGTGGAGATGTTAATGCTTATATCGGCATGATCTAACCGATTATAAATAGTTTACTTTTCGGTTCGTTAATCGATTAAACGATTATTCGAATGAAAATCGGACATCACTAGATGAATGTGAAACGTCATTTCAAATATAAGGCCGTTCATAAATAATGATACAATTTGAAAGGGACCGGGACTAATCACAAATTACGTCTCCATGGTAACTGAAATAAACACGAGTGACGAATGTTCACCGGTTGCTACATCTATTCGTTAACAGCTCACTCCCATACAAAGTTCCAACAAGGGGCGCTATGATGGTGATTATTGCTAATGTAGTCATACTTATTTAGAGTAGTTCCAGTGTACAAAAGTTAATGAAATTTTGGATTTCGGTTCCAATTTTTATGAAGATAACGAATATGTACCCCTAAACAACCCAATTCTCGAAACTGATCCTAGAGCTCCGTGTTTTTTTTCTAAACACAGACATGACACTGGCACAAACGATCGAAATGGCTCGTTCTTTGGAAACCATCGAGAAACATCGAAAGAATTTGCAGAAAAACGAAAATGTGAATGAAATTTCTGGATCCAAGGGTGTTTGTTTTCGTTGTGGCTATTCGTTGCATTACGCTAACGACGACGAGTGTTTGCCCCGCGACAAGAAATGTGAAAAATGTCATCTGCTTGGACACTTCAAGAGGTGCTGCAAGACGAAGGGAGCCCAAATTCAAAACAATTCCAAGTCACAACGGAAGAACAAAGTGCGGCAAATTGCGAAAGAGGATTCGGAACGCGAAGAAGATTCATACGACGAAGACGACTCATGTGACGATGAGGAACAAAGTGTTAATTACGTTTTCGCAGTAACTTCGGACGGTGAAGATAAAGTTTCTTGCAAGGTGGGAGGAATTAAACCTAAATGGATGGTGGACTCTGGTGCAGGCGTCAATGTGATCAGTCAGTCTGCGTGGGAGTACTTGAAAAGTCAAAAAGTGTAGGTCCAATACCAAACAGACAAAATTAAGAAGAAGTTGTTAGCATATGGGAACAACAAGCTGAACGTGTTGGGTATGTTTGTAGCTGACATCGCAACGAAACAGTCTTCTGTGAGTGATAAGATCTTCGTCGTCAAGGAATCTGGATTCAACCTACTAGGACAAAGAGCAGCAACCGATTTGGGAATACTGTAAATCAACACTTCTATTTGCGCTGTTCAGCCGGAAACGGCAAGGATTGGGAAATTGAAATGAGTGGTGGTGTCAATTCAGATAGACCCTGCGGTGAAACCAGTTCAGCAGACGCAAAATCGTATTCCAATTCCACTGCAACCGAAAGTCGAGCAGGAGATAGCCAGATTACTAGAACAGGATGTAATCGAAAGAGCCCCACGTGATTCTCCGTGGATCTCACGAATCGTCGTTTGACCAAAGCTAGGTAACAACGATGAAATTCACCGGTGTGTCGACATGCGCCATGCTAACAAAGCGATTGTGCCGCAGCATCATCCACTGTCAACCTTTGATGAAATCGTCCCCCATCTACACAACTGCAAGCTGTTTTCCAAAATCGACCTTAACAAGGCTTTTCATCAGCTCGAGTTAGCAGAAGATTCACGATCGATTACTACCTTCGCTACGCACGATGGATACTATCGATACAAGCGCCTGACCTTTGGAATTAAT